AGACAACTTATCAAAAATCATAAGGAAATCCGCTACAATAAACCTGAAAAGCTACCATTTCTCTTCAAACATTCAGATCTACATGAATATATATACAATTGTGTAGAATTTGGATCAGCTTGATGTAAAATTATGGAAAGAGGCTGTCAAAGTTCAGATAGTAGAAAATCTGCGTAAAAATCTTGAGAAAAGATATGAAGTTTACATGACGAGGATTACATTAAATAATTACCTTTTACCTTACCAATCAAACTTAATCATTGCAAAAGTGCATCACCACTTGGCATAGGTTGCAGTCTCTAGAATTTCATATACTGAGATGCATGAATATCCTGATAGCTATTATTGCCTCGCATCAGTAAAATATACAAAGCAATTTGCTAGCACTTTTGCTGATATATCAGTCATCATCTCTTAAGATGATAAAGCAAAAATCAGATTTAGGATACCTGCGGTAAGTCATACATTCCGCATATTACAATTTATTAATGAACTTATGATCGTAGTAGACCATGATTTTCCTATTAGATTTGGACAAAAATTAATCCCGTCAGTATATTTGATGATAAATCCAAATGAATCTAATAATAGATTGCGAACAAAAAAGTTAGCAATTTTTATACATTCCCAATTGTCTCTTGACATATCTTCACTTATACATATGCAAGATCTGGAAACTCTTACTTCAAATTTTCAATATGATAATGTGCTGAAAATAAATAGAACAGTTCGACCAATTTGAATTTTATTAGTAAACGGAGGGCCAGATAAGAATCCTAGACATTTAAAAAATATCAAAGCCTATTATCAGCTTTTTAAGAAGTTTGATTTAGATTTTTTAAGTATATGAACATATACCTCAGGTCAGTCAAAGTATAATCCAGTTGAAAGAAACATGGTAATATTATATGGTAAACTTATTGGTATTACTTTGCCAATTGATTATTTTGGTGTACATTTAATACATAAGGCAAAGTTATAGATCTGAACTTAGCCACTCAGAATTTTCATTATTTTGGAGAAGTCCTCTATAAAATTTGGCATCATGATTTGATCTTTGGAAAGAAGGTTAATATTTATTATATTAATATACTCATAAATCTATTTGAGCACATAGATTTTAAGGGAACAAAAGAAGAAAGGATGAAGAATTAAAAAAAAAGAAAAAAGGAAGAACAAAAAAATCAAATAATATAAATAAAGAAGAAATATATACTCATTCTGAATGTTTTGTACCATGGTTTTAGATCAAAATCCACTGTAATTTGTGCATCTATTCTCTTAATATCAAATGATACACAAATACCAGTTGCTGTAGACCACCTAGAGCTAAAGAAGCCATGAACTTTCTTCATTTGTATAATAGTTTCTTATCACTAATTACTAAAGTCAAAGATGGCTGACTTACAAACCTGATTCATTTTCTTAAGTATGGAGATCTCTTGAAAATACCAGGTTATGATGCTTATTGTGCATCTATTGAAAAGAATATATACCTATGACTTTGCTGTTCTATTTGTTAAAAGTATTTTCTCATTCTTATATTTTTAGCAAATCATAAACGATTTATACATCCTACTACTCGAGAACAGCCTAAGAGATAACAAAACTCATCTTTTGACGATTTTTCTCTTCTTCCATCTTAATAAAAGAGGTCATATGATAAAATGGAATTTGAACTAAAAGCTTGCAATTCAGATAGAGAATGAATAAATTTTACGTGTATATAGCCTAAATTTATACGGCTTAAATGTATGCTAAATGTATGCAATAATAAATTTTACTAAGCTATTTTATCAAATGATTTTTACATGATCAATATTTTATCACATACTATTGCTTATTTATTATCACATGATTAGCTTATTATATATAATCTAAGATCTTCATTAACCCCACCTCCCTAAGATATTAGGTAATATCTGTCACTACCCTTACTGAAATTACTGGATACTCAGTTAAAACTGATCTAACTTATTTAGAACCTTAGATTACTACCAATAGCAAACATTTATGAATCTTTTGGAAGAATACTATAATATTTATGCAAGAAATCAAACAGAGATAAAATGAACAACAGAAATCAAACATTTTATTTTTACTGGAATAGCTATGCTAATTATTCAAAAACTATATTATATAAATCCTAAAAATACCAGGTTTTTAAATCAAAAATTAAAAAAAAATAGAAACAAATGGTATAATTTGATCTTCTTATAATCTCTGAGCCTTACCTATTGTAATCATAGGAAAGAAAAGAGGAGAGAAGAGATTATGTATTAATTATCAAAAAGTATATTCTGTTACAAAAATTGATGCATATTCATTACCAAGAATTAATAACTTACTAGATTCGTTAGGTGAAGCAAATTGGTTTACTACTTTTAATTTAGCTAGTGGTTACTGGCAAGCAATGCATTCTGATGATATTAAGAAAACTGCATTCATTATAGTGAATGAATTATATAAATTCTTAGTCATGCCTTTGGATTAAACAATACATCTGAAATATTTCAAAGACTTATGAATTGGATTTTTAAAGACTTTTTTAGACTATTTGTATCAGTTTATTTGAATGATATAATCATCTATATAAAAGAATCTTTTAAATGACATGTTAATCACGTTAAATAAGTATTTTAAGCCTTTAGAGATATTTATCTCATGATAAAATTAAAGAAATACTACTTTTATCAATCTTCTTTAACATTCTTAGAATATATTGTAAGACAAGAAGGAATTTAACCTGATCTAAAAAAGATCAAGAAAATTGAAGAATTTTTAGAACTAAAAAGTTTAACTTAACTTAGGATTATTTGGATCTTATTGAAAATTTATTAAAGATTTTGTATGATATGGTAAACCTTTAACCTTATTACTAAAGAAAGACTAGTCTTTTGAATAGAAAGAGAAACAACAATATGTCTTTGATTGACTAAAGGAGAGGTTTATTAAAGTACTAATTTATAATACCTAAATTTTGATGTATCTTTTACCTTGTATATTGATGTTTCAAAGAAAGGATTAGGTGCTATACTATTCTAGAAAAAAAATAGAAAGAATATGTAATTGCATATGCTAGCAGATTAACTAATAGAGCTGAAAAAATTACCTGATTACTGATTTAGAATATTTAGCGATCGTTTAGTTAATAAAACACTTTTATCATTACTTAAGTTGATTATTTACTGTTGTAACAGACTATACTGCTTTGAATGGTTAAAAACTAAAGGAAAAATGTGTTAGATAGATAATAAAACTTCAATAACATCATTTTACTATTGAACATAAAGCTAGAAAATATAATGCAAATGCTGACACATTGTCTTGAATGTATGATGAAGAAACTGCTGAATGTTTTATTATAGATCTTATTGAAACAGATGTGGCAGATGATGAAGATGAAAATAATAGTATAAGAGATCCAAAAGAAAATATAAAATGGTATATTTCTTTTTCTGAACCTGTAGAAAAATGTTTAATCTATGTTTATTCTAATCTAATCTTCACCACAATTTCTCAAAAAATTCCGTAATTATGCATATAATGTGCATGAATTTAATTTTTATTTCAAAAATCAAATTTATGTTAATCTTTTTTTCGTATATTTATTTCCGATCAAATTTCAATAAATACGAAGTTAAGGAACTTTCTACTAACATAAATTTTATAATGAATATTTATTAAGGATGAGATGTATTGTAGAAGGATATTTAAAAATTTTATTTTTGAAAATAAATATATCTTATGATAAATATTTTTTAAAAAATGATCTGCAAAAATTGGCCAATCATAATGAAAGCCCGCTAATGCTGGTTAAATAACGTGTGATGTTTAATATCACATTTATTTTTTTTCAGGAGAAAGTTTTGGTTAGGTGTAATGCCGTTATTTGTCACCGACGTGGCTTAATCTGTCACACATTCTGGACGTGATATATTTTTAACCGAAAGAGTTTATTATTTTAGACGCGTCAACATCTCATTTACATATTTAAGCAAATTAACGTCCATACAATTAGTATCTTTCTGATTCTTACCTTCAAAATATTTTTTGTCTAGTTCTAAAAATGAAAAATTCGCTATTGAAAAAGTAAAAATAAAGTTTAACAAACAAAAAGAAGACGACGAAAATTCGTAATGGTGAGTTTGTATTTAATTTCATCTGAAGGAGGATGACAGAGTGCGTCTTAAGGATTCCTGGTTGTTGCCTGGGTACTTGATTGTTTAGTATATTCTTAAATATACTTTTGAAGTAAATGCGGAGTCTGTCAATTGTCACTGTTTTAATATACTTGCTTCAAGTGCTTATTAAGGATTCCTTTGGCTGCGCTAGCTTAGTATATTCTTAAACAAACTTTTGAAATAAATGCGGAGTCTGTCAATTGTCACTGTTTTAATATACTAAAACTTTTCTTATCAACTTTGATAATAGCTGCTGAAATTCAAATTAATATTGTTGAAACTAAAATCAAAACGTTCAATTGGAGTTACCTAACTAAAGAATTTTGTATAAAAAAAAATTGTTTTGGTAAGTTTTTATTTATTAAATATGTTTTTGTCTATTTTTAAATCTTTCTAACGGAATTCATTTTTTTAACTCGTCATATTTAACAGATCATTCTGAATGGACGCATTATCGTTTAGTGATATTATTTATTTTTATTTAGATTTTTTTTTTTTTTATTTATTTTTCCATTTTATATCCTTAAATTTCTTCCAAAAAAAAAAAAATTTAGGGTAGAAATATTTTGTGAACTTCGACGAAAATTTATTTTATTTTATTCTTTTTAAATCGAATCAAATTTCAATCGGGTTTGGATGATTAAATTTTCTTATTTTTTTAAAAAATAAGTTGCGTACAACAGAGTAGGGCTAACTCAATATTTCTCTCATCGAGAGGCAGAACAAGTTTATTGCAACCTTTGAGCTGGTATTCAGAAAATAATGTGATCGTTCGCACAAACGAAAAGACGATCAAAATCGACACACCACAAAATGTGAATGTAATCTCTGCGAGTGGAATATCTGTACCTTACGAAACCTGTATATTGTCCACCGGATCCTATGCATTTGTACTGCCGATTCCTAGTTGAGATATACCTGGTATATTTGTGTACTGTACCATCAAAGATTTGACCGATATCATAAGTTATAGTAAAATTTCCAAATGTGGTGCCGTTTTCAGTGATGGTATATTGGTCTTTAAGCTTCCAAAGCTTCGATTTGATGGCTTTGGGTTGATCATTGAAACGGTTCCAGCGAGACAATGAGGAAAATGCTTTAAAAAAAAAATCATAAAACTTGGAACCAGATGTATTCTCGGAAGGAAAATACCACGTACGAAGAAGAGAAGGTTTTGGAGAATGAATCAATTCCATTGGATATGGTGATCGTTCTTTTCTAACGGGTATTCGTCCACATGACGAGCACGCCAAAGAGTTGGGATTTCAATACACCAACACGGTGGTGTATTTGTTGATGACTACCTATCAGTTATGAACGAACGAGTGTTCCTAACGTTTACGCAACTGGCGAAGTGACTTTATACGGTGGTATGATTTATGGACTTGTCGTGCTCGGTTATGATATGGAAGACTTTGGTGATCATACTGAACGATTATGCCAAACTTCACGATCCTATGAAATCAAAGTAAGTTTTAACCGCCTCCTGACGAACTTATTCTTTGTGTTAAAATGGACAAGCTCTAGGTGCTGATGAAACTCAAGAGAATTAAGCAATCTCGAAACCTACCATAATATTTGTTTTCATTAATCATATTCAAGTTTGGTAAGTTTTATCTTTTTTTTTTTTAGGAAAAGAAAAAGGTTCGATTTTAATTAACTTTTTAACTTTACAAGTTCGTGTAATAATATGTTGAAAAGCCAAATTCGAGAAACGATGGATGTTGTTCTATTGGTAAAGTTAAATCATGTACAAATGTGGGTTCGGGTTGATGTGGATGTCTTCGGACCGTCGCAGAAATATTTCAGTCGAAATTAAAGCATTATGACGAATGCTCATTTCAGCCTAACGCGTGCGGAGCTATTCCAAGTCGCTAATATAAAGAAGTAGGCCATTTTTAAAGACATCGTTCAAAATTTGACCTGCAACACAAACGGAATTCTCGATCCAAGGAAATTAAAAGTTGTTCCGGCCTACTTGAAAGACCAGCATCGACGTGGTTAACAGCAAATAAAGCCATATAATTAACATGCGAACCGAATTGTTGCCTGGACAGGAAATGGAAATAACACCGATTTTGTTGTCAACTTTCCTACAATTTTTCGATCCCAAGATTTGGACCATCAACAACCCAATGAATCTGTCGACGTCTATGCATGTTCTCTCCAGGAATTATACCGAAGGATTGAAACTCCAGCTTTCAATTATCCAGCTGCAATGAAAGCAAGAAGTTTAGTCAATGGCCTCCTACCTGAATTATATTTAATGGTAAAGCCACATAATATTCAAACCTGGGATGCTGCGCTTAATAGAGCAAAGGCTTACAAACTTACCTACCAAGACCAAAATGCAGTAGCGGCTATATGAATAATAAATATTTTTATATTTTTATATCATTATACAAAGAATAAAACAAATAAATTAATTTAATCATTTAATAGGAGGAGTTATTGCTCTGGATCCAGGCGTGCGTACATTATATTCTAAGTGAAATAGCTATTTAATGGGTAAAAAATGATATTAATAGAATTTATCGGCTTTCCCAGAAGTATGACAAAATCCAAAGCAAGCATGACTTTATTCATGGAAAAGTACACAAACGAAAATGATACAATCTTCGCAAGTTCATGCTTCTTATACATAAAAAATCTGTTGTTTTATTAATGATAGCCACCAATGGCTGTGTCAAAATTATCGTATTATTTTGTTGCCTGAGTCTAAACATAGAGAATGGTTATAAGTGGAAAGCGGCGGATTTATTCTAAGACTCACGGATGATGTTAACATGGCCCCACTTCCGATTCCGCTAATATCTTCTAATAAGGTTCGTGAGCTTCCATGGTGTCAGGTAATTGTATAAGACATGGTAGTGCTGTGGTCATTTTCATCGAAAATTGGGTGGATCCAAAGTGCCTTTGCCCTAGTTGTGCAGCTAAGCTTGATCGGGATATCAATGGTGCTTGAAATATATTACTTCGCTATCTCACCCAGCTACATCCCAACCAAAACCAAGAGCCGGTTTATGCCGGCGCTGGGACCTACCTCTTGGACCTTCATGATCCTTGCAGAAATATGAGGTTTGATAAGGAATGTATAGGTTTAATTGTAGGCGTAAAGTCAGAACTTTAGTTCCTTTTAAAAGTAGTTTTATTTCTAATTGTCTATTAATTATTTTAATATCATTTTTTGAGTTGTTTAAGCAATAAAGAATTAAGTAATTTTATTATTGATATAATAAAATGTATATATACAGTAAAATAGTAAATCGGCATAGCGATGCGGAATTTTTTTTTTTTTGTTTTTCATTTTATTTTTTTTTTTAAGAAAACGTGACGTTTTTCACTTGTTGGAATCTTTAAAAACGTAGGTGTATACGATAATTACTCGAATGTGATTAGTTAAAAAAATTTTTCCGAAGCGAAATAAAACAAATATTCTCATTTCCAAAACTGTGTCTTGAGATGATCCACCTTCATTTCTAAAATTTTTGGAAGCGAAGGGTGCGAATCTAAAGGACGCAAAAACTAAAATCTAAAAAAAAAAAAAAAAATAAAGAAATAAAGAAATCATTCGATAGTTGGTACAATAAACAATAATAAATTTAATAAATTTATTACATTAGTTTTTATTTTATTAAAACGCGAGTACAAAATGTGTTTAAGTACAAAATATCTAATTAAATGTCCATATATATTATAATTTTTTATAATTTTTTTTTAGAAATATAATACAAGAGTCATAGTAAAAAATTAAAATGTAGTATAATACTATTCATCCGAAAATAGGAAAATCTCAGGAATTACGATCCAATGTACGATAAATTGAAAAAAATCTTGAATTTGATCTTGTAGTTTTAAAAGATGAACAAATCATTTTCTTGAACATTTTCTCTCTGTTCAAGCATCAATGATAGATGATTCCATGCTTCGGCATTTCCTTTTTCGGCGGCAAGATTAATTAACTCGAATGACTTTTCTTTATTGAGGTTTGTTCCAATTCCTTTACTAAAGCAATTCCCTAATTGAACTTTTGCATCAAGATAATCTTGTTTTGCTGCTCTCGCATACCATTCAAATGCAAGGAGTTCATTCTTTTCAACACCCAACCCGTAGAGATAGCAATTACCTAAACTATATTGAGCTACCTTGTTTCCATTCGCTGCTGCTTTGTGATACCAATAAATTGCCTTGTCAAAATCTTTTTCGAGTCCAATACCTTTTTCATAAAAGAATCCCAAACTGTATTGTGCATTGCTGCAATTCTGCATTGCGGATTTATTAAACCATTCAAACGCTTTAACCCCATCTTTTTCGGTAAATATCCCACCTTCGTAGAATCTACCTAATTTATATTGTGCGTATTTATTTTCATTTCCTGCAGCGATTTGATACCAAAGGAAAGCCTTTTCTAAATTTTTTTCCACACCGATCCCTTTTTCATAAAAGAACGCCAGACTGTATTGTGCACCATCACAACCTTGCCCTGACGATTTTTCATACCATTCAAACGCTTTGGCTTCATCTCTTTCAACACCCCTTCCGTACTGATAACAATTCCCTAAGCTATATTGCGCGGCCTTATTTCCATGTATTACGGATTTCTGATACCATTCGAAGGCTTTTCCAAAATCTTTTTCAATGGTGATGCCATTCTCATAAAAGAACCCCACGCTATATTGCGCATCGTTGTATCCTTGGTTGGCCGACTTTTCATACCATTCAAATGCTTTGACCAAATCTTTTTCTACACCCCTTGAATTTTCATAAAATGAACCTAAATTGAACTGTGCATATTTGTTGCCATTTTTTGCAGATTTCTCATACCAATAAAATGCTTTTTTCAAATCTTTTACGACTGCTTTTCCTTCCTCATAAAAAAAGCCCAAACTATATTGCGCACTATTATAACCTTGTTCGGCGGATTTTCTATACCATTCGAATGCTTTTACCACATCCATCTCAACATTCTTACCATTTTCATAGAATAATCCAAGGTTGTACTGGGCAACTTTGTTTCCATTATCAGCGGACTTTCGATACCAATAGATCGCCTTTTCCAAATCTCTCTCTATTCCTAGACCTTTTTCATAGAAGAAAGCTATCGTGGCTTGGGCAACTTTGCTTCCATTATTCACGGACTTTTGATACCATTCGAATGCTTTTTTCAAATCCTTCTCTGTGCCTTTCCCATGCTGATAACAACACGCCAAACTATATTGTGCGTCACTATATTCTTTCTCGGCCGATAGTTTGTATATTTCAAACGCTTTATTCTCATCCTTCTCTATATACCATCCATTCTCATAGTATTTCCCTAAATTATGCAATCCGGTTTTATTGCCATCTTCAGCCGAGTTTTGATACCAATAAAAAGAGTTTCCAAAGTCTTTTTCCACTCCTCTACCTTTTTCGTAAAAGAAGCCTAATTTAATTTTTGCGGCTTTATTTCCATGCGCTACGGATTTTCGATACCATTCAAAGGCCACTTCGTAATCTTTTTGCACCCCTAAACCATACTCATAAAAATAACCTAAGCTGTATTGAGCATCATTATAATTTTGATTAGCCGATTTCATGAACCAATCAAATGCCTTGTATCTATCCTTTTCGACGCCCCTCCCAAGGTGATAGCAGTTGGCCAGATTATATTGTGCCACCTTATTTCCATGTTCGGCGGCTTTTCGATACCAATAACAGGCTCTTTCCAAATTTTTTCCCACCCCCATTCCTTTCTCATAAAAAAATCCTAACTTATTCTGTGCCGCGTTATAATCCTGTAACGACGATCTTTTGTACCATTCGAACGCTTTAATGACGTCCATCTCAACGCTCCATCCATTTTCATAGAATCGGCCAAGGTTGAATTGTGCAATCTTATTACCTTGCTTTGCTGATTTATGGTACCAAAGTGAGGCATTGTTCAAATCCATTCCTACACCTATGCCTTTTTCATAAAAAAATCCTAACTTATATTGAGCGTCGGTGTAATCCTGTTCGGCCGATTTCTGGTACCATTGAAATGATTTTTCCTTATCCTTCTCTATTCCTTTACCATTTTCGAAGCATGTTCCCAGAAAATATTGTGCGAATTTGTTTCCGTTGTTTGCCCCGCTGCACATCTTTTCCATGATATCGTCGTCGTTTTGTTTTGTAAAGGACATTTTTATTAGAAAGTAAGATTTTATTATTTTTTTTTCAAAAAAAAATAGGCGATGTTTTATTGATTATATTCTACGATTGTGGAATTTTTATTTATTGTTTTGTTTTGATTTTTTTGAAAGTTATGTGCAAAAAATTGATGAAATTTATAGAATTTTTTTTTCTTTTTATTATTATTATTTTTATTATTTAAATTTATTTACGGGATGTTACATTTGTTTCACGTTCTAGAAGTTGTGTCGCGCAGCTCTCAATGGCACATAAAGAAAAAACCCAGGTCGATCCATTTGATTTAATGACCAACCGATCCTAAGCCATAAATGGGATGGGAAATAAACACGGGAAGGATAAATATATCCAAGCAATAAGCATTAAAATGACTAATTTGGTAATCGAGTGATACGATCCATTCGTCTTTTATAAAGAAATTTAAGGTTTGATGGATGGATTTCATTGATTGTTCATGCAATCAATAATCAAAAAATCTTTTATATAAACATGTCTAAATTTGGTAACAATAAATTTTTTTTTTTGTTAAGCTGAACACAAGATAGGCAATGTGCACGAAAGGGATGGTAGGAATTCACAGATGAAACGAGGATTAAATGAGAATG